ATGATTTACCAGTTCCCTGCTTGTCAAAGTAATCAAGCATTGCTGAAAGTTACCTTTTTGAAATAATCAATTGATGTTAACTGTGAGCTTTTTTACAATCTAGTCCTAACCCCTGAGAGAGAGAAGTACAGAGAGCTGCTTAAGAAATTAGATTCTGCATGCAAAACTTATTTTCTATAAATAATACGTCTCTGACACTTTCATGGTAGAATGGGAGATAAAAAGAACACTTTCCCAAAGTTAGTGAGGATGTCTGCAACTTTAATAGTAATTATTTCAGTGAGGATGGATAATTAAAAAGAAAGACTATACCAGGAAATGACAAAAGATAAATACTATAAAATCCCTCTCAGTGGTTGTATAGGCTGATTATAATACTTTTGTTGAGGAATCACTCTGAATTGTACCTGCTAAAAGAATACTTACAAGAAAGAACTCTTTGGCCAAACTTCCCTCTACAATCTCTAGCTCCTTCAAGTATAACAAATGAGGAAGTAGATTTTCAGAAGAGAAACATCATCTGATGGTATCTTTCTGTATGGACTAAAGACTATATTATCTCATTATATATCAACAATCAACGCCTGTGACATAATTGAAACAAATTGTGGAGACCCAACAATATCTATTTAACCTGGGAATTTTCTTGTTCACAGTCAAGAGATCTGGGGAAAGGGGTAAAGCAAGCATACATATTTTTGTTTTCAGGTGAAGTGTTTTATTGCCAGAAGAAATATGAAAACATGATGTTCTCATGTAATGTAACGTTGTTACTGATGGGTTAATCCTATTTGAACAACATAATACTTATATCCAGTGTTGCTGTAGCTGTGTTGATTACAAGATATCAGAGATACAACATGGGTGAGCTAATATGTTTCCTTGAAACAACTTCCATTGATGATAGAGACAAGCTTTTGAGCTTACACAGAGCTCTTTGGGTTTGAAGGAAAAAGCCATATCCTGAGACATGCTGTAATAAATGCTCAAAAAGATGGACATTTTGCAACTGTTTGCCTCATCAGAGTAGTCAGGTAGTTGACTTATATTACAGACGATCAAGAGCTATTGTTTCTGGAATCTATCATTTGTGATGACAGAGCTTGCCTGGAAAGAAACTGCATATTCATGGCAAAACTACTGGGCTGTAGCGGAAAATCAGCCGCTTTTCCGGAAAAACTTGCCAGCTGTCTACACTGGCCGCCTGAATTTCCGCAAAAGCACTGACTTCCTACTGTAAGAAATCAGTGCTTTTTGCGGAAATACTATGCTGCTCCCGTTCAGGCAAAAGTCCCTTTTGAGCAAAACTTTTGCACAAAAGGGCCAGTGTAGACAGCTGACATTTGTTTTCCGCAAAAAAGCCACGATCACGAAAATGGCGATCGGGGCTGTTTTGCGGAAAAGCGCGTCTAGATTGGCACGGACGCTTTTCCACAAAAAGTGCTTTTGCAGAAAAGCATCCGTGCCAATCTAGACGTTCTTTTCCGAAAATGCTTTTAACGGAAAACTTTTCCGTTAAAAGCATTTCCGGAAAATCATGCCAGTCTAGACGTAGCCCTGATGTTAAAATTAAGTCAGGAACTGACATCACAGTCATCTCAGAAGGGATTTACAATTACCTTCAATCCCTCTCATAACTGAAGTCACTTGACACTGCTCTGACTAGTCGTCTAGAGATAGTCTGACCTTTATGGGCCAGTTCACTACAGAAACAATGTACAAAGATAAAAATTATGGATTCAGAGCATATGTGATGAAAGGATCACAGACCAACATCCTTCTCTGATGCATCATGACAGTAATAATAGGTCTAGTGAGAAAGTAAAGGAACTTGGCTATTCGGTGATATAGGACTTTTGAAAGGCGATCCAGTGTAAATAACCTTAAACGACACTGTACATACACCTTGCAGGAATCCTATTTCAATACTTCATAAAATGTAACCATAAAAGAGTATGGAATAGATTGCATAATCTCTGAGTCAAAAGCATGGTCTGTCCTAGTCGTTCCTTATAAAAAAAATTGGAAAGATACAAATCTGTGTGGGTATTAAAAGACTTAATGAAGCATTTGTGAGAGAAAAAATAAATCCTTTCAAAACCTGAAGACAGGATACTTCAACCGAGATTCCCCTAGGGTGTCCAACACTAGTGGTTATTTGGCCGGTTGTGTGTGGCTAGTTCACAATCGCAGTAGCCCCGATAGTGGCTACTGCTTCAGAACTGGTTGGACACCACAGCCCTCAGGGATTCTAGCAAATACCATTAACCAAAGAAAATGTTAAACTGACTCCATATGAACACTTTTACAAGAAACATCACCCAGTCAACTGCCAGGTCTAGAAATTAGTCCCTGGGTTCATATCAAACTGAATGGAGCAAAAGGATGGGCACCTCCAGATGTCTTAAAGAAAAAGAATTTAGTGCCCAGATCCAGGGTTGGCCTTACCACGAGGCGAACTGAGGCAGCTGCCTCAGGTGCCAGACTGTTGGGGGGGTGGAAAGGCGACACGGACCCAGGGAATAGAGACCTTTCAAAGTTTTGGCACAAGAGAGAGAAAAAGGGGCTCCCCGCCTCAGGTGCCAAAATGATATAGGCCAGCCCTGCCCAGATCATATAGAAGGGGAACTGACGGGAGAGTTCAGCAGAAAGCCCCGAACACTTCCCAGCGTGCTTAGTCAAAAAGCACCATCCCAGGGAATTCACGCCTGCGCCTGACCACAGCCGCTCACTAGGGTTGCCAGGTGTCCGGTTTTGACAGTCCAGTATTTGAGAGAAACAAATTGAGAAAATATAACTGAGAAAATATAAACGTCCGGTATTTTCTAAATAAGATGCAACTAGACTGTGCTGTGATGTCAGGTGTGTCCCGTATTTCTGTTGAAACCATCTGGCAACCCTAAAAGCCAGACCTGCCCCTCACTAATGGCCCCTGCCCTGCGCGTTCCAGCGCTGAGACCCTTCCCACACCGAGCGCACGGCCTGACACTGGACCGCGCTGGGCAGGCAGTAGGCGGCGCTATTTGGAACCCCCTCAACGCGCCTGGACGAGCTTTAAAGCGCCTGATGACGACACACGGGGGGGGTGTCACACTCGCGACCATCCCTGTTTGGTACAGAACAAGGACCCCCCCTACTCGCCACAAACCCACCTCCGCTACAAAACACCTTGATGGCAGGCGCGGGCCAATCGTTTCACCGCTTTAAAGCCCGTCATCCAGCACGTGACTCGCAGGCTGGCTTCGTTTTCCGCGGCGTTCCTCCGGCGCAGGCGCTGTAAGTTTCCATCGTTGCCGGTAAGTTATTCGGCCCGTCCTCTCTTTGCGCATGCGTTGGCCACCAGTGCTCTGTGTGCTGCATGCA